GCTGCACTGATGCGAGCAACTTAGGCCAATAGTATTTCAGGCGAATCCTGGCGAATGTTCGGCTCACACCCATGTGTCCAGATGTTGGCTCGTCGTGGCATGCTAGCAGAATTTCCTCTCGCATGGCTGTGGGCACGACTAGTAAAAACGTTTCACCATTAGGCTCGAAGTTCCTCCTGTAAAGGACACTTCCTCGAAGGCAGAACGCGGAGAGCCCTCTGGAGAATATGCGAGGGACTTGAACGTCGAGACCCTGCAGGTGTTGTATAAGCGCCAGCAAATCCGGGTCATCTCGTTGTAGTTGAGCGATTTCGGATGCGTCGACATCGCCTAGAAACGGGAAGTCTTCCTCTTCAGGTACACTTGGATCGACGGGAGAGCGTGACAGGCAGTCGGCATCACTGTGTTTCCTTCCAGATTTGTACACGACCGTAATGTCATACTCCAGCCTGAGGCTCCATCTTGCTAGTCGACCTGACAGGTCCTTGAGATTTGCCAGCCAGCATAGAGCATGGTGGTCACTGACAGCTCTGAACGGTCTACCATAAAGGTAGGGTCGAAACTTGTTTATTGCCCAGATTACTGCGAGGCACTCTTTTTCAGTTGCAGAGTAGTTAGCCTCTGCTTTTCACAGTTTGCGGCTGGCATAGGCTAACACTTTCTCTTGACCATTTTGCCACTGGACAAGGATGGCGCCGAGGCCGACATTGCTGGCATCGGTATGGACTTCAGTGTCGGCTGTCTCATCAAAATGGGCAAATATTGGTGAACCCTGTAGTCGTTTTTTTAATTCGTGAAAAGCTTTCTGTTCGATTTCCCATGTGAAGGGCACGTCGTCTTTTGTCAGTTTTGTAAGAGGTTCCACAATCTTAGAGAAGTTTTCCACAAATCGCCTATAGTAGGCACAGAAACCCAAAAATCGACGCACTGACTTTTTGTCTCTGGGTGTAGGGAACCTCTGAACAGCGGCTGTCTTTTCGGGATCAGGACGAACACCATCGCAACTAATGACATGCCCAAGGAATCGCAGCTCTTCGAAGCCGAAGTGGCATTTTTCGGGTTTCATTGTCAATTTTGCTGACTGGATGGCTTCCAATACTGTGCGTAGTCGCTCTAGATGTTTGTCAAACGTTGCAGAGAATACCACCACGTCATCCAAATACACTAGGCATGACTGCCATTTCAATCCGGCGAGGACAGTGTCCATCATTCGCTGGAAGGTCGCTGGTGCGGAACAGAGGCCGAATGGAAGCGCTTTGAATTCGTAGAGGCCATCTGGTGTTACGAATGCCTTTTTTCATGGTCTCGCTCGTCGACCTCTATTTGCCAATATCCGCTTTTCAGATCTAAGGAGGAGAAAAACTTTGCGGTTCGCAACTGATCTAGTGTATCATCGATACATGGCAAGGGGTAGACATCTCGTTTAGTTACACTGTTCAGTTTTCTGTAGTCGACACAGAATCTAAGTGTGTTGTCTTACTTCTTAACGAGCACTACGGGGGACGCCCATGGACTATTCGAAGGCTGGATGACATCATCCGAAAGCATCTCCTCCACTTGCTTCTTGATAATTTCCCGTTCTTTCTGTGACACCGGATATAGATGCTGGCATATAGGACTCGTGTCGTCTTGCGTTATAATTCTGTGTTTCGTGATTGACGTGCGCTGGACCTTCGAGGCACTTGAAAAGCAATCAGAGAATTCTTTTACCAAGGCGTAAATCTGTTTCTTTTGACTGTCCGGAAGGCTCTGATTGACGGTCACGAATGTGTCGATGTTGCAGGCCACTAGTCGAGTGGTTGATGTCGTTAAGCTGCATAGCTCAGTCGCCATACAGAAGTCGTGTAAATAGGCAATAGCCGTGCCTTGAGCGATGTATTGAAGCTCATTGGAGAAATTTGCGAGTAGCACATCTGCACGGCCATTCGTCAAGTGAAGAAGACCCCTAGCTACGCAAACACCTTTGTTGAAAAACAGCCTTACATTTGTATCCGCTATGCCTTGGCGGTTGTACAATACGTCATTTTCTACGAGCATCATTATACTGCAGCGTGGCGGCACAGTTACGTCATCATGAACAACGCGTAGAGCAGTTGGACGTCGTTCCTCAGATTCCTCCACAGGTTAATTACGGCACCATTAGCTCGCAAGAAATCCATTCCTATAATGAGTTCCCTAGAACATTCTGGCAGCACAATGAAATCAGCCCCGTAAATAAAGCCCCGTATTTCAAGTCTTGCAGTGCATCTGCAAAGGGCCGTAATAATGTGACCGCCTGCCGTGCGTATCTGCGATCCACTCCACTGTGTCACAACTTTGTTTAGCTTTTTCACCATCTTGTGAATTATCACTGAATAATCAGCACCGGTGTCGACTAAGGCATTCAGCTCCCATCCTTCCATTCTCAACCGCAAATCTAAAGTAACGTTTTCGTTGCTGCACCCATCTACCAGAAATACACCGTCATCACCCTCAAACCATATAGGAGGATCTTCGTAACTGACGTTATCAGCGGCCTCACCTCCACAGGTCGCTTGCTTCAGTTTTCCGGGTGTGGACTTGGAGAGCGATGACCAGGCTGCCTTGAAGGTGCACGTGGGCTGGATGACCGGTAGCGCATAGGCGATGGTGACCGTGACCGGTGTTGGCGTAGAGGTGGCGAGTTCTGGCGCGTGCACAAGTACTTCTCAATCTCCGCTGGTCGTTCGCCGTTTCGGGGGCACGGTGCATACGATGGGAAGCCTCTTAATCTAGCCTGTTGGTAAGGACAGAATCTGTACAGATGACCCGCTTCCCCACAATGAAAACACAGAGGCCTGTGCTCGTGATCACGCCAGATTTCACTTTTCCTGGGCCTACGCTTCACATAGTGATGTGTGCTACGTGCTCCTGGGGGCAGATAGGTAGCTGTTGGTTCCCGTGGACGAGGCACGCTGCGTGCCGCAGGTGGGAGAGGAGTCGTCGCCATCACAACTGCTGCATTGCTGAGTACCGTGGGTTCTCTGACAACCTCAGAGTATGTTCGGATAGGTCGAACCGGCTGCAGCTCACGCTCTGGCTCTCGTATCACCTGCCTCAGTTCGTCACGAACAACGTCCGTAATAGATAGTGCAGTTGGAGTCTGGGGAATTTGCAGCCTGCTCAGTTCTTCTGTAATAACTGATCTAGTGAGCTCTCGCAGGGCTTCAACGTCGTTTCGCACGCCTCCGGAGAATACCTGTGCAGATGCACAGTTAAGATTCCGGTTGTACTGCCAAGCCCGCTGTTCCAGTGTTTTTTCGATGGCCGTCGCTTTCGAGTGAAACTCGGCAACTGTGCTTGGAGGGTTGCGGACGAGAACGGCGAACAGCTCTTGCTTCACTCCGCGCATTAGATGGCGCACCTTCTTATCCTCAGCCATGTTGTAATCCGCACGCTTGAACAGCCGGACCATGTCCTCAATGTACATAGCAGCACTCTCGTTCGTGAGCTGGTTCCTCGATTGAAGAGCAGCCTCCGCCTTTTCTTTCCGGTCTATGCTCGCGAACGTAGCCACCGCTTGTCGTCGAAATACCTCCCAGGTAGACAACGAGGTTTCATGATTCTCAAACCATGTCTTTGCAAAGTCTTCCAGGGCGAAGTATACGCGACGGAGCTTCTCTCTTTCGTCCCATCCATTCAAGCTCACCACTTTCTTGAACAGGTCCAGCCAATCTTCAACATCCTCATACGAGTCGCTGTGGAATACTGGCGGCTGGTGCGGTTGGCTAATGAACACTTGTGCCGGTGTTACCTGGCTAGTCATAGTGGTGGCATCCATCGTTTGAATTCCCCTTGGTGTGAAGTGAAGAGGACTGAACTCAGGCGAGTCACCTCGAAGACGGCAACTTGCCCTCTGGTGTACAGGAGTCACTTCCACGGGGTTGATACGCTGGTCGTCGGGGCTACGCTGTCTTGAGCTCGCGGGGCTTCGATTTATGCCCAGCTCCTCCACCAGAAATGTAGCGATGCTGAGGCAGACAGGTTAAAAAAAAACCAAGCGTCTTTATTAGGGCGAACTTGTGCCCACGATTCTAAAGACTAACGTCGTCAAGTCCGAGTAGCCGAGTGGCACAGATCCAACTATCTTCCTCTTCCTCGTTGCCGGAGAGCACGAACGCGTGACGCATGCCAGCCGGGTCTTGCTGGTGCTGGTGCCATGATGATTGTGGCGGGCTACTTGAACGTGGCGAACCTGTCGCAGCAATATGTACCAATTATAACTAACTTGTTTTCGTGAAAACTTTGTCCTTTCCAGGTTTTGAACATTTCTATTTTTTATTCATATTGCATCTTTATAAAGCAGCAGGATAGAAATAATGCTAGCAAAGTTCCTCTTTCACGTAGCGATGCCTATTAGTGAAACATATGATTGACGTAATTACAAAGTCGGAACATATATGAAATGTTTACGTGACCCCATATTGCCAAGAAGAATGCTAGCAATCAGCAAGGCTGACTATGGTATATTGAGGAAACAACACACATTCAGCACATTAACTTTGTGTATTTCAGAAGTTTTTAAGTGATCATCTGTGAAAAAAGAAATACAGAATGCTCCTGTCTTTACAGGAGCACTGTCTTCGCTTTTGTTTGCTCTCGGGTCCAAACCGCAAAATAATAATAAAAAAACAAGGCACGAAAATTTTCTATTATTGTTGTTTTCCATATATTAGTGTGAAACTATGTCCTAATCAATTCGGTACCTACGCAATATGCGACAGCAAAAGACTGGTGCGTCAAAACAGTATTTATGCAGGAACAACCGCTGTAACAAAGCACTATAAAGATTCGTTAAACTGAAACCGACGGCTCTCATGCACACCACTAAAGAGTTACCTAATTTATACCGAGCACGCAGTACTGCCACATAATTTTGCATATGCATAAGCAATAAACCTTTCAAGCCACTATCGAGAATTATGCCTGTTTGGGCGCCACAGTTATAAGCGAACGAGAACAAGATGCGTAGGATGACTTACTTTCTCAATATATTCAAGGTATCAAATGCTTTCTGAGTGTGCTGCTGGTTTCTGTAGGGGGGTCGCTCCGTCAAACTATGCTGAGATCTGCCCAAATCAATCTTCTGTAGCTTGAACTCCAGCATAGTGCTGTGAAGCAAAAACACACAGAATTGGGTAGCTTAGCAAAAAAAAAAAGCGAATGTATATATTTTAATACTGCCGAAAAGAAAATTAACAGAACACGAAGCTGCGCTTGACAAGTAGTAGAAGACGACGACGAGAGACTCAGCGTTTACCTTTCGGAAGCCAGTTCAGACGACAGTGCTTGATAGAAAGGTGAGTTGTTCATGATGAGAAAACTCAATGTACCAGCGACACAGATTCCAAGTTCATGTTCAATCCACAAATTGTTTTCAACGACGGCTGTCAAGTAAAACCGACTCCAGCTGAGTACACAGTTTGTTTTGGTCAGTGGTCTAGCGTCAGGTTCCGCAACTTTCAACGTAAGCGGCGTAAAGATTGCCGCGGTCCGTAAAATTGTATATATGCGCGTTTGTATATAATTAAAGAAAAATTTGTTCATCATTAAACAATGAAAACGTTAGCATAATTTTAAGCCTGTAATTATGTCATATATGTATTAATATTGTTCGTTTAATTTTTTATACACTGCATTTAAAATCATAGATGCGTTACTATTTCTTGTTGCGGAATTAAAAGCACGCACGGCTTGCGGCATGCTTGTGGTAGAGTCCATGGTAGAGTTGAAACCAGAGAAGAGGGGCTATGCCAGGGGACATCATGTGAGCGCGTGCAGCGTGTGACTCTTGCTGTTCTCGATGATAAGGGCAGTTATCACAATTCCTTGAGACATTTTTGACGTCGAATTTGGCACCGTTGCCCGCCCTTGCTTTATGCGCGACGTGTCTTTTTGACCGTAAACCCTCCAAGTTTCACCAACGCGTTCTTACAGGTGCTATCAAGCATGGACCCTGGGCAAAAGCCGGCTGTGCTGGTTACTCGGCAAGACGTAGCCCAGGAAGCGCTCGAGCTTCTCTGCGATAGGTGACGCCGCAGATTTTCTCTGAATTACTAACTGCGTGTGTGACGCTGTACGTGAATCCCACTTCAGGTGCGATGTCGAGGTGTGGAATGAAGACCAGCCGATTCCTAGGCCAGTTCTTCTGCGAAAGATTGCTGGCAAAGACGCTCTGTTTTGCCTGGTTACAGAGAAGGTAGACTCTGAATTGTTGGATGCTGCTGGTAAAATGCACAGCTTGCTAAAATTTACTGCTTGCCTGGTTCTTTTTCGGCGCTAAGCTACCACATTCCTTGCAGGCCCCAACTTGAAGGTAGTCGGTACAATGTCAGTTGGTTATGACCACATTAACGTTGCTGAGTGCACAAAAAGGTAAGTTGAAAGTATTCCCGCACACTTTGCACGTTGTATGCAGTTTCTCACACAAGGGTATTTCCTTTCAGGCGAATCGCACTTGGTAACACACCTCATGTGTTAACTGACGCAACAGCGGAGCTAGGAATTGGTCTTTTGCTTGCAACAGCCCGGCGAATGTTCGAAGCACATCAGGCAATAAGCAGGTACAAAATGTTCTTTTGTGTTTAAATTTTGTAAAGTAGTGCCAGCAATGTCGAATGCATTATATATTGGAAATATTCAGCGTATTACTACTACTGCTAGCTCGCTCGAGTAGTGATACTAAATGAAAGGATAGCTGGTAAAATGTGGCCAAAAAATGCGGGGTGCAAAATAATTCCTTGAGGCATGATCAAACTAATGTGAACTGTTGATGAATGCATCAGATTTCCAATTCATTCTGAGGTGTTGAGAATTTAGTTACCTGAAATGTGGTAAGATAGCCATCGGGCTAGTTGAAATGTACTCGGGAAGCCAGCGCAAACAAGACAGGACATGAATGAAATTACATGACACAACGGCTGTGTTGTGGCTCTTTCGTCGTCTTGCTTTGTTCGCACTAGCTGTCATTATTGTTCCCTGAAAGGTGGATGTTGCTTTGTACTATTCGGATAAAAAGAAATTCAAACAGTGCTGCACCTCCACACCTCGTTGCTCAAATTTCTTTTCAAGTGCTCATAACCTAGCTGGTGATAAAAATATGCTAATGTCGACATGATACAGTCACAGATGTATTTTTATTCCCAGCCAGGTTACTGGTGCATGAAAATAAATAGATGTATTTTTATTCCCAGCCAGGTTACTGGTGCATGAAAATAAATTTGAACATGCGAGCGTGTAGGTGCCACACTGCTTAAGTTTCTTTTTATTGCTGTAGTACTTCTTCTAGTTGGCCATGATAATTATGGAGTACTTAACCATTTCAACCCACCACAGTGTTTATAGAAAAAAAGTACCAGATTTCGTTTTTATCTGTTGTCTTTGTGTTTCTCTTATTTGGATTTCAGAAATGTATGATCTCATGGTCACTGGTTAGAAATGGCTAAAACAAAACTCCTTCTAAGGGGAACGTTTTCTCAATGCATGGCATTTTATGGTACGCAATGTATGGAAATATGCTGTATTAGTACAGGTGGATTGTGGCCTGATATTAAGTACATAGATATGACCCTGTGCATTGTCATCATCTGAAGTCATCTTGCATTCACAAAGTTGAGCCCTCGCTCTGAGACAAATTTAATATATTCAGCAGTGTGTCTGTCGAACTACTTGAAGCAGCAGCTATATACACTCAAACCTCATTATAACAAGGTTGAATCTTACACAAAAACAAGTGTGTTATATCCAAAAATTTGTTATAAAGATGTGATCATAAAAATCAAATCTGTTTCAAGGCTATTTTTATTCAATTCATTATAACCAATATTTCGTTCTGTCTGGGTTCGTTATATCATGGTTTGAGATATATCCACAGCAATCATCCGTCATGCTTGCCGGCTAAAGAATACTGCTGCAAGGCTAAAGATGTGGCAAAGGGGCTAAAGTAAGTCTTTATCAGACTTGCACTCCTTTCTAAAGCCCCGCTGCAGTGGTCTAGTGGCTAAGGTACTCGGCTGCTGACCTGCAGGTCGCGGGATCGAATCCCAGCTGCGGCGGCTGCATTTCCGATGGAGACAAAAATGTTGTAGGCCTGTGTGCTCAGATTTGGGTGCACGTTAAAGAACCCCAGGTGGTCGAAATTTTCGGAGCCCTCTACTACGGCGTCTCTCATAATCATAAGGGTGGTTTTGGGACGTTAAACCCCACATATGAAATTAAGTAAAAATCACTGCTTTCTAGAGTTGGAAATTGAAGCCATAGCCAATTGCAGGCTATAGACGAATTCCACCGGACGTACGTCACGAAAATGCGGTGGCACTGTCGGCGGTTGTTTGGTTTCGCATTGTAGGCAAAAGCTGCTGTGCCTACCACAGTTGCTGCTGTATTTTCGCTGGTGCATGCGCTGTTTGTCGCCATGGAAAAAAAAAGGAAAGGTGTGCCGACGAGCTTTGATGATGATTTGCACAAAAAGTCCCAAGAAAAATGGGTCAGGTCTTTTTTCTTTTTCAGTTTTCTGTTCACAAAAATCGTCGCTAGATGATTAGCCGCATGAGAACTTGCGCCCCGCCGCGGTGGTCTAGTGGCTAAGGTACTCGGCTGCTGACCCGCAGGGCGCGGGTTCGAATCCCGGCTGCGGCGGCTGCATTTCCGATGGAGGCGGAAATGTTGTAGGCCCGTGTGCTCAAATTTGGGTGCACGTTAAAGAACCCCAGGTGGTCTAAATTTCCGGAGCCCTCCACTACGGCGTCTCTCATAATCATATAGTGGTTTTGGGACGTTAAACCTCACATATCAATCAATCAATCAATGAGAACTTGCCTTCGATGCCAGTTCATCGGTAATGTTTTGGAGCGGCTTACATAGCAAAAACGATAAGCTCTCTCAAGCGTTTGTTATAGTGTGTTCACTGCATTTTTTGCAGTAAGCCTTGTGTGGAGGCATAGCGAGTATACTTATCTCAAATCAGTGCATGAATGTCGTGGATAGCATTGTCATATACAAAGAAATCAAAAAAATTTTTCGCAGGTTGCTTTTGGTGATACAAGTGCAGAAGTCTTAGATGCATCAAAGTGATTCCGTTATACTCGCGTGAACTAAAGGTGTCACTCGGTCATGAAGCATGCATTTTTTTTTACGTGGACATGGTTAAAGCAGCAGTGAATGAAAGGATGACTTAGACTATGCTTATCCTGTTTATATGTGGTCGCAATGGCACACTGTGTATCGGGCAGGGCTGTTCTGGCTGCGATCTGCTTCATGAGATTTTCACGTCTGTGAGAAAAACATCAATGAGGAAACTTGCCCAGTCTGTTTACGGTCTTGTACGCATTTCGGGGCCTTGAATTGAGTTGCAAATCCTACAAATTCGGAACGGCATTTCCCTAGCATGTTGTTGAAGCTATTGCAAGCGTATTGAGAATGAGTATCGTCGAGATCACCCCTGGTCGTTAGCACAAATAAATTCATTGGCACATTTCTTATATGAGAGGATATACGAAAACAATTCGTGGCTATGTATTTTTATACGGTGAATTTGCATATCGTATCCTAGCACGCCTTGCTGAATTGGGTCTGTCGTTCTTGCATTAGTTAACAAATTAAAATGTACACGTGTGACTTAGACTACCGCAACGGCGATAACATTTCGCAAGTGAGCCATATTCCCACCCTGATACCGCATGTTTTGATGAGGTTCTCAAAGCTAAAGCTACTCATCAACAAGGCTCATGTGTTCATTTCAGAGCCAGCCCCTCTGACAGCCACTGCAACTACCTCTCTTGTGGCCGCTGCTTGTAAGCATGCCGGAGGTGTCCCAATGCGCCGTGCTCGGAGGCAGCTTTTGCCTCTGCTGCGTCAGTTGTCACGTGATCATTGAAGGTGGTAGTGCGTTTTTGGCCGAGACAGCTGGGCGGAGCCCACGTGTGCGATGTCGCTAAAACAAACCTACATATATCGGGGGTGCCTACCTCTATTTACAAACATGGAATAGGCCTATAGCTTGTTCTTGGCACTAACAGGAGCTCACACTGTGCTGAGGGGGTGTGTCTACTTGTTGACAACTTAGGTACAACATCCACTAACAAGTACAACTCAGTCCTGGCATTTAAAAAGTTGAAACACTTATTTTAAAGTTTGTCGTATTGCGTTTTTGCATAAAGGTAATTGTCATTGACTACAAATTGAAAGATATCTATTTGTTATATTAGTGGCATGTTGAATATTCTACTGAGCTTGCTTCTAAGAGTGGCACTGGTAGAAGAAAAATTTTATAATTTTACATAATGCTTACAGCAGATAAGCAAACCTTGCATGCACTTTAAGTTAATGCAGTGATTTTTTTAAGCAAAATGCAATATGACCGATTTCACTATGGGCATGTAATTGCTGTATAACTATAGTAGCTCACTCTAATTTGTGCAAAGCTAGGGCATGCTACTTTAACTTTTTTGTACAGGAATATGTATACTGTCTATAAATCATAGGAAACTTGACGCATTCATCATTATAAATCACACTTTAAATTGATAATGAAGTAGACATTATGGTTTTACAGGGGAAAGGGGCAGACTGTTCCAAGAAGTGTGACAATATGTCGTATTAAACAATATTAAAAGCAGTGATTTAGATGACATCTTGGTTTCTGAAAACACATGATATGAAGTGTTTACCGCCTGCTATCGGTAAAGCTATGCTTAGGCGCCTGTATTATAAGCCATAAAAATTTTTTTCAGTTGATTGCTGCATACTTAGCTCTGGTCTGCATACAGGAACAGCATATGCAAAAACATTTAAGTTGTGCACAGTAGTTTACTGATTATCCATCGCACTTTGTTAAACCATTTTCAAAGGATGTTATTGTTCGCATTGTACAGCTGGGCGGAGCCTATGCGCTGAATGAAAAAAAAAAAAAAAGTGACATGTATCTGCAGAATGTTTTGTGTACTCATTCATATTGGCCCTGAAAGCATGCAACAACTCTCACTTTTGACTGGCATAGTTAAATTTTTTTTTTATTCTTGTAGTGGAGAGTGGGCGAGGGCTGCTTGGAGTCCAACATGGATGTGTGGCTCAGAGATCGGAAGGTCGACTGTTGGCATAGTTGGCATGGGCAACATAGGCAAGTTTTGTGTAATGTTTACTACCATTTGTTGTTGTTCTAGTGCACATTTTCAATAAAGCATAAGGGTCAGCAATTATGAGAAACTAATGAAACAACTCACTCACATTGAAAAGTCATTCAGTTATCATCTATTTTATGTTCGCTGCAGGGTAAAGGCCTCTCCCAATAATCTTAGACTTGCCCTGTCCTGCGTGAAAAAATCCAGTTTTACATCTACAAAGCTATTTCATCGTCCTCCCTTAACTCTTTGGTGTCATTGGCTTCATTTCCGATCTCTTGGTATAAATTCTGTCACTTTTGCGTACCGTTGGTTATCAATCTGTCCTGTACTGCTGTTTTTGAATTTCACCCCCATTTAAATGCACTTGGAGTGGCCTGAAATCTAATCCATTTTCATATGCACAGCAGCACCATTCCATAAACATCTTGAGTAAAAGGTGAGCCACAGTGCACTTGACAAAGGACAAACAGTGAAACAGCATACTCATGCGGCTGTTTATTTGTTCTCACTAGTTCCATCGTTCATCCATTGTCATAGTTGCACTGTAGTTCACTTGTGAGGCAAGACCGAATTTCCACCTCCGTGAACGAAGAGCTCAACTTTATTCACACTCTGAAGAATAGCGCAAACCCAGAATACCAATGGCACAATGATGACGATGATATAAGCACCTTCTTTGAATTGGGTTGTGGTTAGTCACCACGTTCTGGCGTGTCGTAATATTTCAGCACCTGTGCATCGTTAGCTATTTTTTGTACCATGTCGAAGGGGGCTGTATTGAGCTGAACATAATGAAGTGGAACAAATAGTGCAATAGGATGCAAGAGAACTTAAAGAAGAGTGCAGCTGTTTACTGATGCTTAGAAGCAGAAACTAAATAACATGATGTAATACTTGTTTATGAAAGGTCTTATTCTATAGTATATACTATAGAATAAGTATATACCCATTCACTAATCAATATACAAATATCAAACTACGATTGTATGGATAGCAGAACTCAACAGGGACCCAATTAATGGAAGCCATAGGAGGGGCAGGATGAAATAAGTGTGGCACGAGAAAATTCATTGTGTGGCATAGTTACCTTGCTCTGATGCGAGTACTGCTGGTCATACGCACTGTCGTGTGATAATAAGGTAACTCAGAAGAGTGGAAGCTTGGGCTAGTTGGTTCGTAGTCATATTTGCAAGTTTTTTCAGCGTGTGAACGTAGGAAAAAGGGACAGGGTGGACAGAAAGAGCGCTGACTTCCAACTAACTTTATTTCACAGAGTGGCAAGCATGCATATATATATATATATGCTTTCGGACAAAGTTGTCCATACAGAAAGCACTGCCGCGTACCTAAAGGCACATTCCTTGTCACTTCTGCCGGCTGACAAAGAAGGTGGATTTGCGGTTCTTCTTTGTTCAGTGTTTAAGGTGAAGGCTGTACAGGCAATGGAGTCTGTTTTCAACGAGAAAGATGAGATTTGTCTGGTTAAACTTAAGAAGCGTGCGAAAACTCATACCGGGGCCCTGGGATTTCAAAAGCTTTCTAAGGCGATAGATAGTTGCGAAAAGCTTAGCCTCGATTTGTTATTTTCTGCGAAAACCCACAAAATCGACTGCCCATTATCAGTTACTGTAACAGAAAGGAGGACCTGGCAAAAGTCGGTAGCACTTTTTTTGCAGGAAAAGCTCATAAATATAGCAACAGACGACCCTTTTTCGGTCAAAAACTCTTACGCTGTCATTGACATTCTTGAGCGAACTAACACAGGACTCCAGGCAATGTCTGTGGATATGAAGGACTTATTTTACTCTTTGCCGCATGACCAACTACTTAAATGTGTAGACGAATTCATAGACAGTTTCGGATCATCAGCGTTCCAAACGCGTATTGGAATTCATAACAGCAGCCTGTTAGAATTACTCAGTTTTTATTTGAAGGCCACCTTTGTATCATGGGATGACAAAAACTACCTACAAAAAAGTGGAGTATGTATTGGTTCATGTTTGGAACCCATTCTCAGTGACACATTTCTAGCACATCATGATCGTGTGCTGTCAAACAAGCTTGACGACTTTGTACTTTTTAAATTTTGTTGTTTTGTTGATGTTTACTTAGTGTTGCTGAAAAGTCAAAATTTTCATGCCATTTCCTCGGACGTTTTGACTGTTGTTGTTGTTGTTGTTCTCCTATTGTTAGTGGCGCATACCCACTGTGGGGGATCGGCCAAGAATCGAGTGGTTTTAAAGTTTACTGTTCAGATTTGGAATGATGGAGGTATAACAGAAAAGATTACCGATAGCCTAGGCAAGTGTGGTGCTTAATGTAATGCATACAAATATTTACATAAACGAATTTATTTTTAGAATAGAGCAATAATCGATTTTATACGTATATAAATATGTGGACATGTTAGGATAATGAAACTGGTTAATTAGTCAACCTATTAGTTTCATCAATATAGTCCCGGACGGCCGCGCATACTGTCCCATTAGAGAAACCAGAAATGGAAGCTCCAAAAGACAAAATGACAGGCAGAGATAAGCCCATACCAATACCACGCAAAGGTATTTCTAATAGGGTTTTTCGTAATGTGTTAAACCGCCTGCAGGTCAAAAAGAAATGGTCTATTGTTTCTAGTTCATCACAGAATGCGCACAATGGCGAAGGTGCCTGAGCAGACCTGTGTTTATAGAAATTTAGATTTGGTACCCGGCAACGCAGCCCTGTGATAGCTACTTCTTGTTTTCGAGTGCGGCAAAAGTCTCTTCGCCAGAGATATAATAAATAACGATATTCTGTAGAGTTTGTTAGTGCTGAACGTTTAAAGACTTGCATAAGCTTACGTCTGCGGAATCGAGCAGCAGTCACATAAGCGGATGATGGACAGAGCGGTAGAATTGGTTCGCTGATTGATGACTTAGCTAAGCAATCGGCTATTTCATTCAGAAACAAACCTTTATGTCCAGGCACCCAAACTAATCATACTTTTCTCAAATGCACAGGTACTAGTGCACGGAACGCCCTTGTTACGTGATTATCAGCACCAACAGAAAGTGCTGCACAGAGAGATAGGGAATCTGTTCTTATGACAGCTGATGTAATTGCTGTATCTAACTTGCGTAAGCCGAGCACTACTGCCAGAAACTCGGCCACAAAAACGGGTATGAAATCGGGTAGTCGAAGGGAATAAATCCAATTTAAAATCGGGCTGAAAATACCAACCCCTGACTTTTCGTCGTATTGCGATGCGTCTGTAGCAATAATAACGTTCATTGTAATACGGCGCAGGTGATCTTGTAGTAAACCATCCAAAATATTGCTTTCGTGTCTCTCGTATCTGCCGACCACCGAAGCACCAACAAACCGCCTAACGCCGACAATCAGACAAGCTATTCAGGAGCAGGTCTCCGAGGCGTCGCCATTACCTACGCCTGCCTCTCCATCAACACCTGTTGCCGCGCCACTGACTTATGCGGCCGTCGCGGCAATGCCTCCGCCTCGTCTGCCATTGTATACGCCACAACCTGTGCGACCTTCCACCGCGCCGTTTCCAGCTACACAGCAGCACGCTGGAAATCTTCGGCGCACTGCTGACAACCGGCCAATATGTCACTTTTGCGGGATTCCAGGTCACGTTGCACGACTATGTCGTCGGCGCTTCGCAGATAATGCACCAAGATACCCTGACTACTCGTTTCGGCCTCCATACCACGCGTCTCACGTGCCACCTGAAGTTTACGAACGCGATGCGCAAGCTGCTTCCGGCACCCGAACCTCCGCTTCTCGACGTTCTACTTCCCGCTCGCCTTCCCCTTCAACAAGTCGTCGTTCTGTGCCGCCTATGCGTCGACGACTCACCTCCATTGAGACGGAAAACTAACTGCCGCAGCTCCGGAGGCACGAGCTGCATCATCGTCTGATCGATTAAGTCCTCGCCTGTCTCCCGCCAATCTTATCGATGTAATCGTCGAAGGTGTACGAACACTTGCACTCATCGATACCGATGCCGCGATATCTGTGATAAGTCAAAGTCTCTGCCGCTCTCTTTATAAAGCGACGATGCTTTCTCCTGTAGTTTCTCTTAGCACTGCGAGCGCCCAACAAATTGAGCCGTCGTGGCATGTACGGCAAAAGTGGTTATTCGAGACGTGTTGTACATCATTGAATTTCATGTGTTGGCTTCATGTTCCCACGATGTCATCCTAGGATGGGATTTGTTATCACGCCGTCGTGGACTGCGCTCGGGTTGAAGTGGGGCTATTACCGTTTCGTGATGCGCCTTCTGTTGATGTGGCCGTATCTAGTGTGGCTAACCTTGTTGTCGCGACGGGCATAGACCTTCCTGCTTTCAGCGGCCAGTTTGTCCCTCCCTTCTGCACCTCACTTTCTGACGCTATCGTCCTATTCACGCCATCTGACATCTTCGGTAGCCGCCATCACACATCGCTGCCATTCGTCGTTCTTGCGCTTTGTCAAGACACTACCGAAATATTTATTTCCAATCCGAATTCGTGCCCCCTCAGTTTGCGCCGCAATGAGACGCTCGGCCACATTCAGCTTATCGATGAAGGTACTATCGTGCCTGCCGATTTCTTCGACACCAAGCCGTATATGGAGCTGAACGCGTTGGTTCCTCACTTTACCTCGAACAGTGTGTCGTCCAATGCATTTCATCATTCTATTGACTGCCATCTAGCCCCTGCTCAACGAGAGCAGCTTGTTACCCTGTTGCACGAATTCAGGCGTTCGTTTGACTGTCCCCAAGCGGTGCTAGGAAGAACGAACACCGTTGTACACACAATTGACACAGGGAAGAGTACTCCTTTGCGCCAGCACCCCTATCGTGTGTGCCCGGCGAAGCGTCGCGTAATCGCAGAACAAGTAGACGACATGCTACAGCGTGGAGTCATCAAGCCTTCTTGTAGTCCTTGGTCTTCACCAGTTGTACTCGTCAAAAAAAAAAGGATGGTTCGATCCGGTTCTGCGTAGACTACAGGCGCCTAAACAACATTACGAGGAAAGATGTTTATCCTCTTTCCCGCATAGACGACGCTCTCGACTGTCTCCAAGGTGCAAAATTCGTTTCCTCGCTTGACCTTCGCTCAGGTTATTGGCAGGTCCCAATGGCTGAGTCTGATCGTCCAAAAACGGCGTTCGTCACACCGAATGGTCTCTATGAATTTACCGTAATGCCATTCGGACTCTGCAATGTGCCCGCCACATTCGAACGAATGATGGACAGGATTTTACGCGGTCTCTAATGGAACATATGCTTGTGCTATTTTGATGACGTTGTGGTCTTTTCACCCGATTTCACTTCGCATCTCACTGGTCTGCGTAAAATTCTACAGTGCCTTACAAATGCCAGGCTTCAGCTTAACCTGAAGAATGTCACGTCGGGGCTAAACAACTCACCATACTTGGTTATGTCGTCTCTAAAGCCGGCATCCTTCCCGACCCTGACAAGCTTCGTGCTGTTGCCGAATTTCCTAAGCCGACTACAATTAAAGAACTGCGGAGCTTTGTGGGCCTGTGCTCCTATTTTCGTCGGTTTGTCCGGAACTTTGCTTCCATCATCGGTCTGCTCACCAAACTCCTTGCTGGCCCTGCAGATCTTTCGAATTGGACAGCAGCGTGTGGTGAATCCTTCGCAACACTGCGCCAACTTCTTACCTCACCGCCCGTACTGCGTCATTACGATCCTACTGCGCCGACTGAAGTACACACGGATGCAAGTGGCGTCTGCCTTGGTGCAGTACTCGCGCAAAGCAAACCAGGTTTTACGGAGTATGTGGTCGCCCATGCCAGCCGCGCCCTCACTAAGGCAGAAGCCAACTATTCTGTTACGAAAAAAGAGTGCCTGGCGATTGTGTGGGCGTTAAACAAGTTTCGCGCCTATTTGTACGGCCAAACTTTTGATGTGGTAACTGGCCATCACACACTGTTGGTTGGCTTCACTGAAAGATCCTTCTGGTCGCCTCTGACGTTGGGCACTACGCCTCCAGGAATTCGACATACGCGTCGTCTACCGATCGGGGTGAAAGCACTCTGACGCAGATGTGCTTTCAAGATCACCCGTGAAATCTGATGATACGGAAATATGAGCCCTTGACCTTCCCCTCTCGGCCGTCAGCGTCACAGACATGTCATTCTGACAGCGGAAAGACCCTTGGATTGTCTGGCTCTTGAATATGCTTTCTGATGCATCAACTTCCGATTACCCGCGTGCTCTTCGCCGCCAAGCAACGCATTTCGCCATACGGGACGGCCTGTTATACCGTCGCAACTATCAAGTGGTGGGTCGTAAATGGCTGCTAGTCATACCCAGCCATATGCGGTCTGATATCTGCGAATATTTTCATGCTGAGCCGCAACACGCACATGCTGGTGCGCTAAAGACGTACAGACGGATCCGCCAACATTACTACTGGCGGGGTATGTACACGGTTGTACGCAAACACAATCGCTCATGTACCCTGTGTCAGCTGCGCAAGACATTTACTCATTCATCCGGTCAACTGCAACCTTTACCATGTCCCGCACGCCCATTTGACCGTGTTGGGATTGACCTATACGGCCCGCTACCGCGCTCTGTTGGTGGTAATCGACGGGTGATTGTGGCTGCCAACCATCTGACAATGTACGCCGAAACGGCAACGCTACCTTCGGCTGGTGCTCGTGACGTTGCAACCTTCATCTTGCATCGGTTTGTTCTTCGTCATGATGCACCACGGGAGCTCCTGAGTGACAGGGGCCGCGTATTTTTGTCGGAAGTTCTGCAGCAGCTCTTACATTCATGCCGTACGGTACACCGCACATCAACAGCCTACCACCCTCAAACGAACGGCCTAACGGAACGTTTCAATAGAACCCTCGGAGACATGCTCGTTATGGATATTGATTCCGACCACTCCAATTGGGGCGTTGTCCTTCCTTCCGTGACGTATGCCTACAATACGGCGATTCAATCAACAACGGGCTTTTCTCCATTTTTTTCTTTTATAAGGTCGTGTCCCATGCAGCACACTCGACACAATTGTGCCATGCAATCCTGATGCCTCAGAGTTCAGCCCAGTTTATGAAATGGCCGAACATGCTGAAGAGTGTCGTCAGCTTGCACGGTCCTTTCACAGCCGATAATCAAGCCCTCCAAAAAGATCGCCACGATTGTGATCTTGTTCAGGACACTTTCCTCGTCTGTTCTCTCGTGTGGCTTCGACTGCCTTTCCACTCTCTTGGACTGACTCCCAAGTTTGCACCGAAGTATACAGGCCCTTACCGTGTCATACAGCACCCTTCTTCTGTCACCTATGTGATTGAACCGCTCAAGCCGTCCACGGACAAGCGCCGCCTTGGTCGTGAGACGGTCCACGTCAGTCGCCTCAAGCCCTGCTACGACCCTCGTGTTCTCTCGTCACCTTGAGTCGCCAGGATGGCTGTCTTTGTTGCCTGGGTATTGTAGTGGGTAATTCGCAAGGCACTGACTAGTGGGACCATCTCTCTCTGAGTGCGAAGTGCGAGTGTGTGCACGAGCTGTAGACGCTGGGCTGCTCGAGCATTTCTGTCCGTACGGGCTGCCTGCCTACTACCTGGCGTTGCTATTAAACTCCCTTGCACTCTCTTCATTGAGTTTGTGCAAGATATGATTTTGAAGATATGATTTTGCTAAACTTATACAAACTGCAGCGGCAAGCAGCTGTGCTGTTTCTGCCAGGGGACTCAAGACTTAGCCCCCTTTCCAATTTCTAACAGGCACCCTGTGCTCTATAAGTACCATTTTAAACTTTTGGTAGTGTAAGTTTCAACGCTTATTTTCATATTGTAAATGTTGAGAAACTTGTCTGAGGCGGCTATTTGGGCAAGTCAGTAAATATTCATCTTACAAAGTGCACGCTAACGAAACAACAGAATAAAAAGAAATCTATAACACGAGCTCAGTGCTTATATCATCAACTAGTGTCGTCGGTACCTTCATTACCCTTTGGTGTTCATTTGTGTGTGCTGTGTTAAGATGTAGAGAAGCTTTACTTGACAAAACAAATAAAAACAAAAGAGTTTCTTTTTGAAAGAGTTGTAGTTTTTTGAGTAGCACCTTCCCTGAACAATGACTTGTTTGGTGCGGCACTACCTTTGCCAAACAGCATAAAATATTTTTCTATCTTTCATGGCATGCACAAGGCAGTCTTGAGGTAGAACCTAAAGCAATATAGCAGCATATTTCACTTGGTCATTACTGCTCATGCCAACATGTCGTAATACATCTCTAAAACAGCTCTTTCATTTGTGGTCTGAAAATTTTCTATAAGTGTTGTAATTTCGGTTTCAGGGTTTGGAATTCTTGAGAGGCTTAAGGCATTTAGGGTGTCACGGTTTTTGTACTATTCGAGGTCCCGCAAACCAGCAGGTAAGTGTAAAAAAAAGTTTAGTGAGGTTAATGAGGACTTCAAGTTATGATTTTATGGCTCCTCATGCTTCTGAATTGAAGGTGTACGACATATTTTAAGTTTCTTGAGCTGTACTTATGGCGTTGCGTGTAGGAGCTGTCATTCCTACATGATGTGTGGAAATTTACTACGTAAAATATGTGCTTAGTATTACTATTTTTCAGCTCTCACCAACTAAGAAAAAAAATGAGTGCGGATATTTTTCTTTGACGTTTGCGTGAAACTGTGGGTGTGGTTTAACTGAGATGTTCAGTATAGAAGTAATTAGGCTTACTAAATTGGGCAAATCCATGTATACATGCCTTTATGCGATTGTAAAATTTGTCAAGTAATGCATGCAACCTTCATGAAAAACAACCTGAAGTCAAGTAGTATTCCAGTTGCACAGGCACTTTGAAATACGTATGAGTTTAAGAGCCGTTAACAGTACTGCTGTAGCTTACCTAAACAGTTGTTTGCTGGGAGTAATGCGCACCTGCTGTGCAAAGTTCAGCTGCCATGTTCTTATAATTTGGTGGGTACCAACTGTGTTTACCAACCTCACCTGGAGGGAACTTTCGCTGGGACGTTGGTGGTTGGTGCAGGTTCTATGTAACACTCTGCTATTATGGGACAATATTGGATATAATACTTCACCGCTAAGTATTCCTGTGGTAGTGTTTTACCTCTAGCAACAATGAGATTTCATGAAATACTGTAATGAAAATAAGACAATCAAGCCGAAAAAAGCACAGGGGAATGATGGTATCAATGGGAAGATAGTAAAGGGGACGAAATTAGATGCTTCTGGGAAGCTGTCTTTTCATTCACTTTACTTTTTTTAAATTTGTACCATAGTTACTACAAATAAGCTGCCCTATACTTTTCTTGGCTTGATTGTCTGCTACTTATTATTAATGTTATGTCTAACAAAGGAAAACGAGCACGTGAGTTGTCCTTCTTTAATTCATGAAATACTACTTGTTACATTTCAGTGCAGCCTGGTTTAATATTTTTTGTTTCCTTTTTGTTTTTTTCGTTTCTTTGTTTTTTTCCTCACTTTTTTTGGAGCAGCCGAGACAATAGGTGCTCAGTTTACAAGATTCGAAGAATTGTTGAAACAATCAGACTATGTGGTAGTCTGCTGTGCCCTCACACCTGAAACAACGAAAATGTTTGACAAAAAGGCTTTCAGCTTGATGAAGAGCACAGCCTCACTTATAAACATTAGCAGGTATGTCTTGTTTTATATTTAAAGGCTCCATTTTCAAGTTCATTGAAGTACGTAGCAGCCTATCACAGTGTTTGCTATGTGCACAACAAGGTTGGAAGGCATGATCAGGGTGTCTGCCAGCCTGGAACACCTGAAAAAGTAAGAGACTTTGGACCCATCTTGAAAAGTCATGGAAAAGTCGGGGAATTTTTTAAAAACCTGGCCAGGTCATGGAAACTGACAGCAGTTCTGTGCGGCCGTCACAAAAATAAGCATTACTATTGACCAAAGCTTAAAAAGTCGCTCTTCAACTGAAACTACTGTGAGCTTCTAAAGAGGTGTGAAAAAAGAAAACAGTGCATAACTGTTGCTTCTTAGTGTAAACACGAAAGGATACACCGACGCGTTGAACACAAAGTTTACCGATGTTTCAGAACCTGATATGAGAGAGAGCTCTGTTCAGAATAAAAGCCATAAGAAAGGCACAGCGTACTTAAGTACGACTAAATACTCGAAGTGAGCAGCGAGAGTACATTGTCACAAGCCTCCCGTAACTCCTGTTTACCGTATGTACAGGCGTCTGTGGATTTCAGGTGCTGGCATGATGCAAGCTTTTAGATGCGGTGCATTTTATAGTCATACCTGCTTGCAAATCCATCGTTGGCGGTGGTGTCTGTACCCCCTACTGTGCATGCTTGCGTCTCGGATCTCGTGCCCCATGCTTGTGCCTCGTGCCAACTGTCACTCCCCACTCACCCCCCTCTCGCCTCGCAAGGCTGGTGCAGGCAGCGTCTGCTAATAAAAACTGGCTGCTTGCGCTGCACAATTGTTCACTGGCCACCCCGTATATGTCGGCACGGGATCGGGCGCTCGTAATACAGTCAAGGGCACCTTGACTTGTTTGTGTCTCTTCTCTTTGTTTCGTGAGTTTGTGCACTGTTTCTGCCCATAAAGGGCATCTTTATTTGGCTTTCGCTTGACTTGATGCTTTTCTTAACTCGAATAGATGCGATGGAAGCAACAGTACCTCCAACCAGTATTGGGTCACAACCCAACATCAGTGTCCCACCACTCGTTGAAGGCAACGTTTTTCCTTCATTCAATAAATATGAATAATAAAGATGAAATAACAATTAAACATTCCCCAACCATACCCAATTACGCAACATTCACGTGATACCCCCACCACTTGGGGACGCATCTACTCGAGTCCCCCCCCCCCCCCCTCCGTGCGAAGATGCGGGTTTTTTGTTTGTCCAGAACACACGCGCTTGACCAGTCTATTTGGTGGTCTGTAGATTCCGCGTGTTTAACGAGGGCAGTCGAGGCCATACGCTGTTTTGTGGTGCCATATTTGTGTTCTAACTCTTTTCTTGAATTTACCAGTTTTATTGAAGTACTGGTTGTCACAAATGTGGCATCCTATGGCATAAGCACGGCCAAGGAAATCTCCGCTTGGCAATTTGTCCTTCACATTGGCTAAAGCATTCCTTAGCTTCCACGTTGGGATATGCAATAATTTGATGTGTGTTGCTTCTACATGTCACACGGCACATCTGACTTCCAAATGAAAACACTACTACGTCTGTAAATTTATGCATGTTTGTCTAGGCAATGATTTCGGCTCAGCTTGAAGGCCATCTGGTTTGTCTAGGCTAGAACTACCATCCGTGGAAGCTTGCAGGGCTGCTCATGCCTTTAATAATAATAATAATAATAATAATAATAATAATAATAATAATAATAATAATAATAATAATAATAATAATATTATTATTATTATTATTATTATTATTATTATTATTATTATTATTATTGATAGTGCAATAGCAAATGTCCTCAGGTACACACTTATAGCTGGTACCTCGTGTTTCAAGGGTAGCACTTGTATCTAAATTTCTCATTTCAGCTTCGTGAGATTGTGTAAATAAATCTGCAATAATGTTTTAGTTTGATGTCCACAGAAGAGAATCAAGGTAACGTGCTAACATCCTTGATTCATCTGTGGAATGAAGGTAGCTGTTGCAAGTTGACAGACTCCTTTTTGCCAACACATATTCAAATGTCGGTGCTTTAAACACTGTCCACAGCTTTCATTGCAGCCACCCGAGGACTTCCGTTGCACTTTAAGCATCAGAGCCCAGAGACACAAAATACAAACATGTATGTTGTCATCGGAAAAAGAAAGAAAATTTTGAAGTACGGCTTTGTTCTTACAATGTTGCTGTTACTCGTTGTCAAGGTGTCACGAGGCTAGTCAACCCACAAGCTCTCGTGTAGGTTCTTGTGCATACAAACCGATGAGAAAACCCACATCGGTAAAGAGAACACGAGACCGTTTATGCACACAAGAAAAACAACTAAATATATTTTCAATAAACTAGATAAAGAGAAAGGAATACGAGGAAAAACAAACAAAGCACACAAATTCGAGGAGAAATTAACCTAATGACCGTGAAATGCTAAGGATGCGTAAGTTCAGCAATAGCAAAAGCGACTGTCACCGTTCGGTCGCGGCACTCTTGTAGACGGCGAGGGTTGATGCGATGGGGTGCAGACAAGGTAGATCAGAGGTCCAAGCGTTGCTCGTGGTTGAAGGTAGCTCCGGGCGCACCAAGGTCAGTGACCTCTCAGCGTTCGTCCTCCGACGCTGGGACGTAGCCCTGGAAACGGGACGAGCCTGGCCAAAGCCAGATGGTGAGAAGTCTGGCCAACGCCAAACGACGAGCAGCCTGGCCAACGCCAGACGACGAGCAGCGTGGCCAACGCCAGACGACGAGTGGCCTGGCCAACGCCAGACGATAGATGATGCTCGGGTGCCCGACCAGGTGGGAGCCCGCAGCAGCCTTGCCTCAGGAATTTGGCCGCCACCCCCGCGTCCTGGTAGCCTGTTTGCCTCCGTCGCGTCCCGGCCACGTCTCCCCGTTCTTCGTTCGGGATCCTTCCCAACCAGCGTGGGGGCCTCTCATTGGTCCGAACTTCACGCGCCTCGTCTGCCCATCGTCTTCCTCACCGAATACATCGCGAAAGCGCGCGCCCACACCATCGGTCGTCGTCGTCTTCTTTCCTATGCCGGTGCACTCGCGCACATTTTAAACCGAACACTGGTTGCACTCGCGCACTTCACGAAACGCGCACTTCACTTATCACAACATGCCCCTTTTTCGAAAAGTTTTTTCCCAACGGAAAAAAACTGCCGGATGCGTGTTTCACCACACAGGATACGTTATTGGAGTTCGCATGAACACATGCACACTGGTATCACTGCAACAAGTCTTAAGGAGCACACTTACAGGAAAAAAAAATCCACATATGGTAAACAATATTCCGATGGTTGGTTGAAATGCTTTGCCTCCCATCTTTAGCAACACCTGAATTCGTATCTATGGCCGTAACCTGCTCATGAAGTCGGCACCCAACAGATTTGTCTTTCCCGGTATCTCACAGAATACATCTTGGTAGGTGGTTAGAATCTTCCGAAGTTCTGTACGTTTGTCTTCTTCTAAGCTACTGCCGATCGGAATCGCTTCTACACCCACAGTCGGCTTAACTGTGCAAGCTGGTAGAGGGGTATCTGTCTCCTCCTCTTTCATAACCACAAAAGATGCTGTTTGTGGAATTGTGTCTGGTTGCCGGTCTTCATATCGTTTTAACATATTAATATGGAATAGTTTGGCGTCATGCCCCAAGTCCAGCCAATAGTCGTAGTCGCCCTTTTTCCCAATGACCGGAAACGGCCCTTTCCATTCCATCAACAACTTATTCGCTGTTGTAGGAAGCAAAATAAGAGCTTGGTCTCCAACTTTCAGCTGACGGCTCTTGCTCTTCCGATCATAGTGATATTTTTGAGTCGTTTTCGCTCGTATCAGGTTCTCATGGGTTAATTTTCGCGTTCTTTCCAGACGATCCCGGAGATCGAGGACATATTCATAGGTCGTTTTCACCTCTTCTTCGATCTTTTCTCCAGTCCACAGCTCCTTTAACAAGTTGAGTGGTCCTCGGACGTATCTCCCGTAAATGAGTTCGAAAGGAGAGAACCCCATGCTGGCCTGAGGAACTTCTCGATATGCAAATAGAAGAGGTGCAAGCAATCGATCCCATGATTTTGGATCCTCTTGGCATAGCTTGCGCAGCATTTGTTTCAAAGTCCCATTAAATCGCTCTACCAAACCATTGCACATGGGATGATAGGGCGTCGAACTCAGATGTTTGATTGCCAACAGATCGTTTACTTCTCTCATCAGGTCCGACGTGAAGCACGAGGCCTGATCGTACAAGATTTGGCGGGGAAATCCAACACGGAAAAACATTTCGACCAACCCGTCTGTCACAGTCGCGGAGTCAATCGCCGGCAAAGCAATGGCGTCAGGATAGCGCGTAGCGAAATCGACCATGGTCAGTATGTATCTGTTGCCCCTATTTGAGACCGGCTTTAAGGGTCCAATAATGTCCACGGCCACGCGCTCAAAAGGAGTGTCAATCAGGGGCATTTTCCCAAGAGGAGCCTTTCCTACTTTGTGCTTTGGATACATTCTTTGGCACGTGTCACAGGACCGCACGTATCTTTTAATCTCTTCCTGGACCCCTGGTCAATAGAATGAACCTAACACCCGATCAATTGTTCTTGTTACTCCTTGATGCTCGGACATCAAACTCTCATGGGCCATCTTCAACACTTGACTTCGCAGCTTGAGAGGAACTACGACCTGCTGTATCAATTTGCCAGAGGATAGTCGGTAATTTCGATACAACAATGACTTCTCCATGACAAAGGAATACTGGGTCGATCCTCTGCCATAAAAAACCTGCCCTACTTTGTCCCTGCAAGCTTCCAGGGTCTTGTCTTCTGCATGGGCCCTCTCGAGCTCCCTCCTGTTCATCTTCAAACTTCTGACGCTAACTGCAGCTGAATCCGGCCGGACGCTCGTGCTCTCCATACTACCAAGTGATGCCTTTAAACGATGGTCTTCTTTCTTATACAAGGTCTCGGTTACGCCGTTCGGAGTGAAGTTCCCTTCAGC